TGAGATCTTTGCCTTTTGACTCAAGTCTTGACTGGACCAGGAATACCAATATTTATTGTTGGTGCGGTTTTAAGACTTTGTCATTTAAGGCTGTGGCTTCGGATGTTTTCTGTTGGAGGAGAGCGCCCACACGTGTCAAAATACACCTCCAGCACTTTTGAATCGAGATGACCAAATTGGGATGTGATTGAGATGCTGGTGACGAGTAGAGCTGCATTCGGGCCCAAAAAATCCGACCCGATCCGGCCCCAGCACGTAGCCATCAGTTCTGAACCCCGCCCGACCCAACGAATAAACAGTAATTACAGGTCCGAACCTGAAAAAAACTCTGAAATTTTTAATTAAGCTTTGACTGCTTATATAAAGTCGGTAGACGCGCGGCTGAGGGGGCAGAAGATCGGAGCTGAGGGTGTTTGTACTTTCATGGTCGTCAAAGTGCATTAAATCCCTGCTTCTGCCTGCATTCTGCATTATTCAGACATGGACCCTGCTCTGACATGCCGGATATTTTGTGCTCTCACCTGTTCGGGTCGTCGGCCACGTGTCCGCTGAGTGCAGCGGCTGACTGAACGTCCATTTGGGCTGATGGATCTCTGGCAGTAGTCCATCTGAAGCTTAACTGAGCTTTTGACCTCTTTCAAGGCCGGTCAGCGCGCAGTCAAACGTCCGCGTGCGGCTGGTGATTGTATGGCAAGCCACGTTGCCATATAATTGGATTGTAAGCCGCACGCATCTGCTGATGCAATCAAAAGCCCAACACTGACCTGGTCCGCACATTATTATGGCCCAAACGGGCCCAAACCCGGGTCGGGACGGGCCGGGCTAGAAATGACAGCTCTAGCGAAGAACTCCTTGTGAGAGAAACGTTGCTGCTCAATCTAAAAAAGTTAAATCTGGTCCTCTGGACATTCTGTCCAGAGGACCAGATTTAACTTTTTTAGATTTTTCTACCTGGATTATTGAGCATGCATCAGGATATGTTGCTGCTCAATATTTCCAAACGTTCAAAACTCAAGCGTTTCTTGACATTTCAGAGCCCCCTCCATTAATTCATTAATACCGTTCACCAGCTAGTCCCCAGAGGTCGCAGCCCAGTGAGACATCGGCGTGGTTTTATGGAACAGCAGAGAAAAACTAGTAGCCCGACAAGAATCAAGAAACTAAAAATACTACAGTGGCTTCACATAAAGTGACTGTTAATAATGTGAAAATGAATCTAGAACAGCAGCTGCCTTGTTAGTGTTACAATTTAAATTTTAATACATAAAACTCACGAATCATCCGATGATTTTTCCAAAAGTGCAATCCCTCGTTTTTACCCCAAAGAGAGATTTCCTTCAGTTTGTACAATATGCAGTGAAAGGTACACCCTAACATTAATTTTCAGACCGTCTGATTGTTTCATTTTGGTGTTTCTTTAATTCTGAGACATTACCAGCGTTTTTTTACGTCTTAAAGGAATGTATCAAAAGTAGTTGAGCAGTTTGTGAAATACGTTTAGACAGGCGGAAGCTCGGGGGCAAAGAAACGTGTATGGCTTTAAGGGTTCAGCACATGGGTAGAAACTACTGCCAAAATATTCAGTTGTGTGTAAAACCATCAGTTTGGTTTGAAAGCTCGTTTATTCCTGCTGGTAGTACGACTTCAAGTGGCAACAGAAAGCTGTCACAGCTAAATTAGTGACGGCGCTGATGGATCCCACAACCTAAGGAAAATTAATTTGATTGTCAGCTGTTGGGGTCGTTCGACGAACGCTGCAACAAATCGCTGCTTTTTAAAGGTTACACAGATCTGTGTTTGGAGACAGCTGTTCGATCGGTGTCAGTTTTTATAAATAAAGACGGCAGAGGGTACATCTGTAATCCAGAGGGCTTTGCTGAAAAAACATTTGTTCTTCTCGTTTTGAGACGTCTGCTTCAAATGAGCACATTTTCTTTGTAAAAACACTATTGCCTTTGTTTTTTTTTTTTAGTTCTTGCATATGTTTTAACACTTCTACGTGGGAGTTTCTTTTCACAAATGGAACAGTTAATTAACCAGCCCTTTTCAGCGGAGGAAAACACAGATACAGCATGAACCCAAGACTTTGTTGTCTCAGCTGATTTTGAAATGGGATGTTCGAGATCGTCATGGCGTGCTGGTCATCGTCACATCCAGGGATTTGTCTTGAACGTGACAAAAGTTTGACCATCTGGACCTGAGATTTGGTGAAACGCTGCCGATATTCACTTTGTAAGATTAGATTTGTGCGTTAACGACAGTTTTACGTTTTCAGAGTGAGACTTTGTGAATAAAGAATATGAAAAAACATCTTTAAGATGATCAGTCTCTCTGAATGCACATCAAGTTTTGATTATGAAAGAGTCATTTGCAGTGAGTTAAAAAAAAAAAGTGTTTTGTTCAATTTCCCTGAAATTTAAAACCTACCGTACTTTTCAGATTATAGGGCGCATTAAGCGAAACTAAAACATTTGGACAGATTTTTGAGCTCCGTGTACCACATAAAATCATTTTGAAGTCAGTAATCAACCAGAATTAATGCATAAGATGCACCGGATTATAAGGCTCACTGTTGATGTTTGAGAAAATTAAAACATTTTAAGTGCGCCTTATAGTCCGAAGAATACGGTAAAATTTACCTTTTCGTCTCCGTAACAAAATGTGAAAGCGGTTTTATTTGTTAGTGTCCAGCATGAGTCGACACAAAGCTCGTGGGCCAAATTCAACTCGCTAAAATGTAGTTTTATAGAAAGGATGGATGAAATGAAGGCGTTTAAAAATACCCTTCATTTAAATTCTTATGTTTAAACCAAAAACTGTTCACTCTGAAGTCTATACAAATAATAACAAAGTTTAATTTATGGCTGAATAATTTGATTAAAAAAAAAAAACAAGAATATTTTAGCTTGTCCTTTGACTTACTTTTTAAAGTACGGTAACTTTGACACTTCTGCTGTACAATATGCTCCTAAAGTTAGTACCGGACTGTTGGAGACGAGCTGACGACTCAAAAACTGCAGGAAAACGTGAACATTTTCATGGCAGTCTCAGTGAAATCAGTGTTTTTAAGTGACCAGCGAGCCGTGCAGCCACGCGTCACGAGGCCAATTGTTGAAAATATTAGTTTTTATGTACCCAGCTAATAAAACCTTATTCTTGGCTGCACACACTATTTTACTGGCAGCCGGTCTCATGAGTCTGATTTAATCTACTGGAGTCCACTTTTAAAACAAAGACAGGCCAGTTTTTCTAAACGTATTATTTATGATCGATAAAATTTCTCTGATTTCTATCTGACGAAAACTCTCGTTCGGGCGTCAGAAAACAGAGACACCCTTAAGAAGCTGAGACGGGCTTCAGACGTCACGCCCGTGAGGCGCGACCATTTTAAAAGAAAACTGATTGTACGATATTTCTGAACAAGTTCAACGTTCAAGCCTCAGGGTGACACAAATAAAGTTGCGAACGCAGAGACGGTTTTGAGACTCGCTCATCGATGCCGTTCATCATCTTGTCACCAACAGTCAGCCCAGAGAGATACCGCCTTAAGCTTCAGCACCGTGACGTGCCAACTAATAACTTGGGCCTCCTGTCAAGAGGAAGGCATGAGTTCTCTTTTTTTTTTGTAGGGGCCCACAATTATTGAAAGCTAAGAGCTCAGGGGCCGGACATCCAGCAGTTATTCTCATTAAGTTTGTTTTACGGTTTAAAATCGTTTTATTTAAAAAAGAACCCACTGGTGGGCCGAACTGAGCTCACCCGTGGGCCTGATTTGGCCCCCGGGCCACCAGTTGAATAGCCCTGGATTAAGGGTTTATTGTATGTGAACTATTTTAAAGCTATAAATAATTTTAAACAGTGATTACCCATTAGGAATACTATAAATAATAATAAGGCATGTTTTCAAAGCTGAGAATAAGAGAAGTTTTGTATGGCGTGCCAAAACTTTAATCGTTACAAGGCCCCGTTTTTAAGTGATTTAGATTTAACTTTACTAGGTCAGTGGTTCCCATACTTTTCAATTAATGAGCCATAAAATAACAGTAGAGACTCGTGTTCCCAACTATCCCGGGTAAAAATATATCGTCATCGCCAATCACACAATGAAAGACATAGTCTATACCACTGTGGTACTACTTTTATATTTAGTTATAAATACTGTTTTTATTTCCCACCAACTTGTGTTTCTTGATTCAGTGGCGTCCTGATCCCAACTTCAGGAACTCCTGTACTTGGTTACATAAGAAGGGACTCCACAGTTTTGTGCATAATGTTCACAGAAAACATAAATCTGTCTGTGCTGGGCATCACCACTCACAGCAGATCATCATGCAAGAAGCGATACAAGTTCAAGACCTTAAACTTTAAGCGAACTCTGCCAAATTGCGGGAAATAACCGTTTAATATGACGGTTTGGTTCTGTGTTTATTTCAGCAGGATAAATAAAGGCAATAAATGAGTCATATAATTAGGGTTAAGAGCCCATATTATTTAAATATTTGTTAAGTGCATTATACTAGCTTGCTAATATTCTGATAGTATTTTTGTGTGCCAAGTTAGATTTGGAATAATTCAAGTTTTAAAAAGAAAACAGTAGTGTTGAGTGGAAATTACATGTTTGATGGTTTTAAACCAGAAGCTAATTGTTACAGTAAATAAAAATAACGTGACATGAAGAGTTTGACAGATTAAGAAGCACTGAAAAGCCAAAAAGGCTTTTTCTTCAACCGATATATCTTTGAGATGAACAAATCATGCAGATAACATTCAAAACCTACATTAAAAGCAGCGCAGTCTTCTTGTAGTCCTGCAGATGATGAGATCAGTGACATGAAGCCGTTTGAACGGGAAATGAAACGCTTAGAATGAGTTGTTTTTTCTAAAAAGGAGAAAAAAAAGTGCCAGAGAAAACCAGCTATGGCAAATTGTTTGTTTGTTTGTTTGTTTGGTGAGTTGTAGATAAAATTTAAAAAAGTAATAATAAGACCAGCTGGTTAAAAGGACGAGAAGCCCACCCTTCATTTTGTACCAGTAAGCAGAAAAGGCAACAGAGGACGGCGAGCCATGGAGGGGAGCAGTGCGTGTGCTGGGCCGGTGTTTGATTTAACGTGGAGTAAATGACAGAAGGAGACATTAGTTAATGCTAGTTACACATTGGTAGAAATCTTGTACTTGGGAGACATGTTATTATGGAACCAGATGAAACTAAAAATGACGCCCATGGTTTTGGGTATACGTTCGTCGTAAGCAAACGTCATGGCCTCGTGCAGCGGGACTTTGACCACCTCGATTAACTCCCCCTCGCGCGGCTCTCCTCCGCCTGCGCTGACGCAGTTGTCGTCGGACACCTCGGCATAAAACATGGTCTGCTTGGCGCCCGTTACGCCCACGCCTGATCTGTAGAGGGAAACAAGCAACAGGATCTTCTGAGTCAAGAATGACAGCGCACACGGTTTTAAAAGGGTCTTTAAAGGCTATACAGTAGTCCCTCGATACTTCGCGGTTCGTTGTTCGCGGACTCGCTCTATCTTGGTTTTCAAAATAAGATTGGACGTGACACACAATTGGCTGATTGATGGATGAGCCGCACAAGCGGCATGGATTGTTTATTCAAAATAAAATATTTTAAAGATTTCACACCTGCTGCTCCTTTGAGCAGCCCACAGGTGCAGGGAGAAGCTCCCTCGTGCAGTCTGTCATGATCTCCGCCACCTGCGGCTCTATTCCACCAGCTACTCTATTCCACCTGTGGCTCTCCGCCACCTGCCGCTCTATTCCACCAGCCACTCTATTCCACCTGCCGCTCTCTTCCACCTGCCGCTCTCCTCCACCTGCCGCTCTCCTCCACCTGCCGCTCTCCGCCACCTGCCGCTC